CGGGGGAACTGGCCCCGGGCCGACGACACGAGAGTGTGCGACACGGAGGGTTTGACCGCTTCCCGGGGATCCGAGGGTCTGGGCCGGAGGGAAGGGGCGGCTGCCCCGGAATGGGCGCTCCCCTAGGACGTGGAGTTCTAGGTTTCCCGGGGGAGGAGGCCGTGACAGCCCCTGCGCGGACGTGCAGTGTCCCGTCCTCCCCTCTCCACACCCCAGCACCCCTTCGCCCTCCCCAGGTTCCAAACGTGACTCTGAACGTCCCTGAGGGCCTTGCTCTGTGATCTGAGCGTGTGAGGCTTCCCCTCGGTTCTGCTCTGCGGAGTCACGCAGCGTCGTGCAGGATAAGCGTGCCGGGGGTATGTCCCGCTGCCTCGATTGCCAGAGGAAGAGACTGGGCCTGAGAAGGGGGGTGACATGTCCAAGGTTACCAGGACTGTAGGTGGGATTGCTAACGGGACTCGGACTCCCGGGCCAAGTGTTGTGTCCACTGTATTACCGTTTTCTCAATAAAAAATTCTAAGTGCAGTGAGAGAAAAACCGAAACCGTGCCTTGATGGACATTTATCCCATTTTTGAGCGCTCATAGTCCGTGTTCCTGTGGATTCTTTGATTTTCAGTATTCTAAAGAGACAATGAGAAAATATGTAAGCAGTGTAACGGGAATTTTTCCCCCTTTTACTTAATGGTAGTAAACTGAAACAGTAGTCAATGTTTATGTTCTCCAGTGAGAGGAACCCCTCCAAAGCCCCCGACTGTGTGGGAGTTACAGCGGTTTCGGTGTTTCTCCTGTACCCACCCCACCCCCACTTCTGAGTGTTCACAGGGTGTCCTTTTATAGAGCTCTCTTTAGTGGTTTTATGCAGGAGGTTCCTGCCTAGGCAGGCCAGATTCCTTATGATTTCAATTATTTTCTTCTTTCCTAGGTCCACTGTTAACAGTCTCTACACTTTTCCAAGAGCAGCAGAAAATGCATGAATCCCAGGTGAGTTTTTTGTCTGTGTATATGTTTTTCCCCCTTTTTAGAAGGTTTCTAAGGATCCGTACTTTAAAAAGAGAACATAGAAATAAAAGACATTATGTAAAATGCGGTTATTAGAGGGTCAGACCAGCACCAAGAATCTGTCAAATTCATGTGTATAGGTAGTATGGTACTTTCGGATTGTCGAAGTTAAGCTGCAGATATGACCAATGATCTTGACAGTCATAGAAAAAGGAAAATGCCATTCATTACGTGATTTTTATTGACGATAAGACAAAACCGTTTTTGTTACTTGTGGGTTGTAAAGATTTCCTTGGACTTGGAAAATGTCTTTAATAAAGTTCGTATAATGGGGTTATACGAACTTTTAACAACCGGAAAATCATCGCACTATAAGGCTGATACTCGATTTTGTAAGCATAGGCCCAGGGAGAACTTGGTGTATGTGATTTTTCCAGGCACCAAAATTGTGATCCAAATAGACACATTTCCATATTTACTGTTTAATCCAGGGATAAAACCTAAGTCATGGGCAAATGGCCTGCTCCCCCTTCAGATCTTTCTGTTAGTCTGTTTATTTGGTTGCCCAGCAAACAATACGAAATGGTATTCTCTACTAAAGATGTCCTCACTTCCCATGCCCATTTCAGTTCTTAGTGTCTTGGTTTTGTCCTTACCACTTTCCTGCATCTGTTGGTAAAGATTAGTTGTGACCTAATTATAGTCAAATCCAGTGGACATTCTCCAGTCTTTACCTCACATGACCATTCATCTGCCTGTGACATGTTACTTCTCAACTGATATTTTCTTCATAGAGTCTCCCTTTCCTTGGCCTTTAAAAAAAACTTAACCTGTAATTATTTCTGTGTATATCTTTGAACAGTAAGGAATCTTTTAAAAAGTGGGTGGAGATAACCCGTAATACCATTCTTTCCTATATAGTAGCCGGTGTTCAAAGTTTCACAATTTTTTAAATGTTTTTTGGTTTATTCTTTTCAGTCAAGATACAGATAGGGTCTATAAGTTGCCGTTGTTTGATAGGTCTTTTAAATCTTTTAATAGTAACTCCCCTTTTATGTCTTTTTTGTTATTTCTTTACAATTTGTTTTTTGAAGAAATTGGGTTGTTTATCCTCAGTTTCTCACAGTCTGAATTGTGTTGATTGCATTGCCATTGTTTTAACTTTACTTTTTAAATTTTTTTTATTTCCTTAAAGTTTACGGAACAGTTAACAAGGATTGTACAAAGAACTCCAACGTTCCTTTAGATACTCCAACTTCTGACATTTCTCCACATTTGCTGTATTATGATCTCTCTCTGTGCATATATAGTTTTTTTTTTGAGCCATCTGAGAGTGGGTCTCATACGTCATGCCACTTTACACTATAATATTTCAGATTTAACCTCCTAAGATCAAGAATATTCCCTTACATATCCATGGCACAGTTATCGAATGCAGGAAATTTAACACTGATATGATACTTTGATCTACAATTCATCTTCTAAATTTACAGGTTTTCCCAATAATTTCCTTGATAGCGATTTTTTATTTCTGGTAGAGAATCCAGCCCAGAATTATGAATTGCTTTTAGCTTTCATGCTTTTTAGGTCTGTTTAATATGGACTAGTTTCTCAATGCCGTGATCATATATGAAGGGTATAGGCCCGTTATTTTATAGAATTCTTTGAATTTAGGTTTCACTGATGTTTCTTCATGATTAGATTTAGACTGAAATTTTGGCAGGAATACTGCATAAATAATAACTACTTTTAAATTTATGGCCCAGAACAGGGTCTGTCTTGGAAATGGTCCATGTGCACCTGAGAAGATCGCCTGTTTTGCTCCTGGTAGGTGGGCGATCTGTAAACGTCGCTCAGATCACGTTGGTATTGTTTTTAAGGTGTGTTGTATCCTAGCTGATTTTCCGCTTACTTGTCCCATCAGTTGTGAGAGAGGGAAATCAGAATCTCCTGCAATCGCGGTTTGTCTGTTTCTCCTTGCAATTCTATCCTTTTTTGCGTCATGTATTGTATTAGATACCTAAAACATTTACGATTGAGTTTGCGTGATTAAGTAATCACTTCGTCATTGGGAAATGGCCTTCTTTATTCCTGCGAATACTCTGTTCTATGAAATAGCCATTCCAACTTTCTTTTGAGTTGTGTGTGCATACTATATCTTATTCCATCTTTTTACTTTTAATCTGTTTTAGTCTCCATATTTAAAGCACATTTCTTGTAGGCAGCACATAATTGGGTTTTGCCTTTGGATCCAATCTGACAATTTCTGCCTGTTAATTGGATTGTTTAGACCATTTACATGTAATGTAATTATTGACATAACCAGTTAGATTATAGTCTGTTGCTTTTGTTTTCTATTTGTCCTATCTTTTTTTGTTTTCTTTTTCTTCTTTGTCTTCCTTCCTTTCAAGTAATTCAGTATTTCTCGATTCCATTTTATATCCTTTGTTGGGTTGTTAGTGATAACACTGTTTTGTAATTTCGGTGGGTGCTTTAGGGTTTATAGTCTGCAACTTTAATTTTTCATAGTTTATCTTCAAGTCACATGCCATTTCACTTGAGTAGGAGAAGCTTACAATTACCTTCCTTTTATCCCCTCTTGGTCTTTATCCTGTTGTTGCATTTAACTTTTACAGGTTGTATCAATCTCATGATACATTGTTACTTTTAATTAAACAGTTATTTTTTCAAGAGATTTAACTTATAAGAGAAAATACACAGTTACCATTTCAGGTATTTTTCTCTTGGCTGCTTTTAAACTTTTTATCATTGGTTTTGAGCAGTTTGATTGTGATATGTCTTGGTATCATTTTCTTCATGTCTCTGTGCTTGGGTATCATGAACTATTTGGATATGTGCATTTATGGTTTTCATCAACTTTGGGGAAAAAAATCGACAATTATTTCTTCAAATATTTCCTCTGCCTCCCCTGACACTTCGTCACTAATTCCTGTTTCCTGTATGTTATACTGTTTAAAATTGTCCCACAGCTCAGGGATGCTCTTCATTTTCTTTCTTTTTTCTCTCTGTGTTTCGTTTCACAGAGCTATGGCTCTGTTTTTGTGTTCATTTTCTTTAGTGACACTATTAACCTAGTCCAGTGTCATTTTCATTTCAGGAAGATATTATAGTTTTTATCTGTAGAAGTTCAGTTTGAGTCTTTTAAAATACCTTCTCTCTATCTACTCAGTTTTTTCAACATAAGGAACAAAGTTATAAACAATTTTAAAGTTCTTTGCCAGTCGTAACGTCTGGGTCAGTTCTGGGTCCTTCAGTCGATTATTTTCTTTATGGGTTGTGCTTTCTTTCCTATTTCCCCCTGTTTCTCAACTCTTCCTTCTTGACTGTCATAGTTCTCCCCGCCTGCTCTGTGGCCGGAAACTCAAGCCAGTAGCTGTACGGCTCACCTTGTTTGTTTCTTGTCTCTCATGGGAACGTCCAGTGTTTCTCCATTAAGTAAAATCCCGTCTTTAGAACGACTGAGACGACCGAAGCGTAAATATGTGTGTGTGCGCGTGTGCATGTGTCTGTATAAACTTAAAAAGTGTACATATGTACCTGTGTGATATGCACATATGTATCACATATGTATATATCACACATACTATGCACTCAGCTTGTAAGAGTGTGTATACATGTACATGGATTCACATTAGTGAAGTATCCATCAATTCATATTTTCTTTTCAAATCTGGTATTGAATCCTGCTTGCTGATACTTTATTTTGGATATTTGTGTCGCTATAAGTGATAGCGGTATGTGATATTTATTGATCGATCGATTAGTCTTCTAACCCCTCCCAGTCCTTGTCTTCTGGACTTACTTAACTCAAAAGGTTATGACTTCCCGTAGGTGATTTATAAGCTCGTTTTGCTTGCCCTTGTCTAATACACCTGGATGTCCTGCTTTGTTTCTGTCATTCAGCCCTACTTCTGCCATCTCAGGGAATCTCTGCTGTGGGACCTCACAGTTGTGGCTGTCAGTGGATATAAACCCTTTGTTGATATGTTCTTTGTAAATACTAGGACAATGGAACATGTTTATTGAACTTTTCCCTTCTTAACTAAGAATTAAATGTTTGTAGTTCCTAAAACCGCTGCTTATTCCAGGACTGAGAACCCATTTTTGCTGGTCTCACCGAGGTTTCTGTAGTCCCGTGTTCCTCTTTGTTGGCTGTCGTGGCTTTCAGTGGAGTGGTTCATCATTGACTGTTTTAAGGAAACGATTTTATTAAATAAGTTGTCTCACTTTTCTGAAAATACCTTTAGTGTATCCTTAGGCTTACATGATAGTTGTCTTGTTTTACAGTCCTAGATTCAAAATCCTTTTTCTGTCAAAAGTTGGAGGTAGTTCTTCACTGTTTTCTCACAGCTGAGAAATAGATTAGCTCCCAGGGTAACTAGCATATTTTTTTTCCCTCTAACTTTTTCAGATTTATTTCTTTTTCTTTTGGATATTTTATGGGGCAATTTCTGGATCCGTTTTTTTCCCCCCAATATTCTTGTTTGTATAATAAGTGGCCCCTTTTGATGTGGAGGCTTCAGTAATAAGTTGTCTTAAAGTCTTTAGCTCAGTTTTGTGCCTTCTCCGCATTCTGTCCTTCTGAAAATGTTGAATCTGGCTTTCTTATCTCAATTTTTCTTTCATCAGTTTCTTGTTTTCTAAAAGGCTTCCTAAATTATATATTCTACATCCTGTTTGTTAGTCAAGTTTCTTACTCGAAGATTAAAAAAAAAAACCAACAATCTAGTCTTTAATTTCTAAATATTCTCTGATGGCTGTTTCTTAGCAAAATGTTTTCATTTCATAGAAGCAATATCCTGCTTAATTTATTAAGGAATAGCAATCAATAGAAAATAATGTCAGTTGTCTCCTTTATGAATTTGATCTGTCGGTGTTGAGTCATCATCTTGATGCTTCTCTTTCATTTCTTTTCCTCAGCTGATTCTTGCCTTTTTTCATTTCAGTTTTGAGGGAATGATTACCAAGAGCTAATGTGACTGTACGCAACTAACGACCCCATTTTGTTCCTCTCTCCTTTGTGAAGGGGACGGCTGCAGAGCTCTAGAAGTCAATGAGTAGAGATATATAATCAGATATCACTTCACTTTTATCCCGATTTTTTTTATCGCAGTAAAATACACAACACAAATTTTGCTGTCTTAACCATTTTTAACGTACAGTACGTGGCATTAAGTGTGTTCATAATGTTGCGCAGTCATCACCACTGTCCATCTCCAGAGAGCTTCTCAAGTTGCAGAACTGAAACTCTGTACCCATTAAACAGTAATTTCCCGTTTGTCTCCAGCCCCCAGCAACCACCATTCTACTTTCTGTCGCTCTGATTTTGACTAAGTACCTCATTTAAGTGAAATTATGATTTGTTTTTTTGTGACTGGCTTATTTCCCCTATCTTAACATCCTTAAAGCCCATGTTGTAGCACGTGTCAGAATTTCCTTCCTTTTTAAGGCTGAATAACATTGCACTGTGTGTATGGACCACATTTTGCTTATCCTCCATTCATCCGTCAGTGGACACTTGGGTTTCTTCCATGTGCTAGCTGTTGGAATAATACTGCTATGAACAAGGGTGTACAAATATCTCTTTAAGTCCTTGCTTTCAGTTTTTTTGGGTATAGACCCAGAAACGGAATTGCTGGATCATTTGAGAATCCCATTTTTGATTTTTCGAGGAACCACTAAAATGTTTCTACAGCAGCTGCCCTATTTTACATAGTGCACAAAGGTTCAAATTTCTCTGACACTTGATATTTTCTGGTTTTTGTTTTTGTTTTTAATAGTAGCCATCCTAATGGTTAGGAAATGGTATCTTATATATTTTTTTTGTTTGTTTTTTTGTTTTTTAGGCGAGGCAACCCTTGGTTGACCTCACAGATTGCAAAGACCTTGTCAGCTTACAATCCCTTATTTTTTAAGCCTGTAGCTCCTAGTCTTCCTAGGTGGTCTCCTATCCAAGTACTAACCAGGCCTGACCTTGCTTAGCTTCCAAGATCAGACGGGATCGGACTTGTTCAAGGTGGCATGGCCGGAGGTATCTTATGGTTTTGATTTGCATTTGCTTAATCATTAGTGACATGCAGTATCTTTTCATATGCTTATTGATCATTTGTGTGTCTTCTTTGGAGAAATGTCTTTTTTAAGTCTTTTGTCTGTTTTTGAATGGTGGTGTTTTTTGATGTTGTGTTTTAGGTATTCTCTATATAGCCTGGATATATATTCCTCATCATATATGATTTGGAAATTTTTTCTCCCTTTCCATGGGCTGCCTTCTTTTTCTGTCCATAGTGCCTTATGCACAGAATCTGTAGGCACCCCTCCATTTTGCACCGGTGGCGAGTTGGCAGACAGGTGAAAATGCTTGGGTGCTTTATGTTGAGAGTAGTGTTTAAGAGTTGGCTTTGGGAAAAACACCCATGTCTTACATGGGTAGAGTTGACTGTATGTCCTCGTGTGCCTTGAATTGCACCTGCATTCCTGGTATCCCACCTGCCTTATCATTTGTCCCAGACAGAAGTTTTCCGTTTGCACAGTGACTAAGTGATCACCCTGGTTGTGGAGGCCTGGAGTGTGCTGTGCTCTGCTGTGTTTCTGGTCACAGTGTCCGTAGCCAAAGGTCCTTGCCAGATTCCGCATTCATTGGGCTGCTCTGTGTGCCGGAAACAGGAAGCCGCTCAAGCTGCTCAGGCAGGCCTGTGATTGATTTCTCTGTCAGCCAGTCACTGTGCCACTGGGGGACCCCCAGACCCTCTCGACGGGCTCTGTTGGAGAGTCTCCGGTTCCTTTTTTTGTGGCCTACTGCCTGCTGTATATAAAGTGTTCGCCGCGGCTCTGTTTTCTCATCTACTCTACATCTCATGAATTTAAAGAGGTCCCAGCTGGCCACGTGGCTTCAGTTCCTGCCATTTGCACTTTCTATACCACCTCATCTTAACCTTAATGCTGTAGAAAACTCCGCTTAATCTGACTGCATAAAATGAAGATAATTTGCTTCTCTTTTGTTAAACCACCCGCCACCTTGTATACATCACTTTAGTAACCCATCGGGTGGGTGTTCATTCATTCAAGAAACATACTCATTGCTGCAAGAATGAGATGTTTGAGATAAAACTTAAATGAAGTAGAAAACTTAGTCATGCCGATAAGCTGGCCTAAGAAGAAGCATCAGAGGGTCAAAGGGCTGACAGTGGAGGAGACCACCAGAGCAGCTGGCCTGGGAGGGAAGGGCATGAAGAGGCAGGGAAGAGGAGGACGAGCCAGCAAAGGCCACTGAAGGAAGTGACAAGGATTAAAATGCGTATGTCATTTACGTGGTGTCTCCTTGGCGGGTTATTAGCGTTTTGAGAACAAGAGTGATGTTTTACTCATCTTACAGCCCCCAAAACTCAGATACTTCAGTTGCAAAATCAGAACTCAGTTTCTTTTTGGTTTGAGGATTTGTTTTTGTTTGTTTGTTTGTTTTTGACACAACAAGAAACCCAAAGGCCACGTGTTTTTATGTTTGTTTTCTTTCCACAGTCTGTAACACAACAGAAGTAGACAACGTTCAGAGTTGATTTTACCAGGGAGCTTGGTAGGCTCTTGTCCCCATACACCTCCTCTGTGTCACCTAGTCGATCATGTTGTCGTTCCAGGAGCCAGTGTCGTTCCTGGACGTGGCAGTGGACTTCACCCAGGAGGAGTGGCAGCAGCTGGACCCTGTGCAGAGGACAACCTACCGGGACGTGATGCTGGAGAACTACAGCCACCTGGTTGCCTTGGGTGAGGAGAGCTGGCTTCCGAGTCGCTGCGATGCAGGAAACTCCAATTTAATGATTTTAACCTTGAGTTTGAAAAAATAGGTGATAAGATCATTTAATTTCCTTTGGGCACCAGGTAAAATACTTGTGTCCCTGCTTCTCCGTCAGAAGGTTCTAATTTTAATACAGCGCGAAACAAGGCGCCATGTTACGCAGCCTCTGCGATAGCGCCTTCCACTCAGGTCTGGAGGCCGCATGGCTGGTCCAGGTCCAGCTCCGTTTCTCATTCACAGGGTACGATAGCGCCAAACCAAACGTGATCGTCAAGCTGGAGCAGGGAGAAGAGCCGTGGGTAGCAGAAGGTGACCTCCCATGTCGGAGTCGTCCAGGTGAGCTAGTAGAATGGTCACCCCAGACCTTAGGGAGTGACTGGAGGTGTCTCTGGGCCTCGGATGCCCTTGGTCATGCCGCCAAGGACCCAGATAGCACTGTCTCTCGGGCACGGGTGCACAGGCTTCTTTGTTGGCTTTACATCTGATGTACCTTTGTAGAGACGCACCGGGCCGACGAGAGCTGAGGGCTCTTGCCTTCCCCACTCCCCGTTACCACAGATAGCCTTGGTTTCTGGGCATTCAGAAGTCTGACAGAAAAACTTACTCGAGACTTTCATCTTCATTCTATTTTCTGTTTTCTCTCCTTCCTTTCTGTGAAATGCCGCTGGTTTGTGTTCTGCCCCCAGTGTCAGTCCCTTCAGGCAGATGCCAGCACCCCGTCCCCTCCCTGAGGGGATGAGGCCAGTCGCCGCCTCGCTGAGGTGTGCGCTTGCACTTTGTTTGGAGGCGCTACTCACTGTTCTAGTGGTGCATTTGGTGGTGCAGCACTAGCCGGCCATCCTTTCCCCCCAAGTGCTCATCCATCTCTGTCCGTCCATCCTTGTGTCCACAGTACACGTTCGAGAAGTGTTTATATCGTCAGTGAGTTTGCCTCATTCTCTTGCTTTCCTCAGAAGTGCCCCCTACTTTCTACTTCTTTACTCTTCTTCGTATCCCTTAAAAGGGTTCACCTTTTAGAACTTTTTAATTCGTGTTCATGCTGCTCATCCAAATCGATATGTAACGCCTTTACCCTGGAGTCTAGTTGACTAGTTTTCCTGACAGGTGACAGTGCCAGCAAAAATAGGCCACTTCCGTCCTTTTTCCTTCCTTCCCTCTTTTCCTCCCTCCCTCCTTCCTTCTTTCCTTCTTAGAATGAACTTAGTCTCAACTTTTAGGACTTTTTAATTCGTGTTCATGCTGCTCATCCAAATCGATATGTAACGCCTTTACCCTGGAGTCTAGTTGACTAGTTTTCCTGACAGGTGACAGTGCCAGCAAAAATAGGCCACTTCCGTCCTTTTTCCTTCCTTCCCTCTTTTCCTCCCTCCCTCCTTCCTTCTTTCCTTCTTAGAATGAACTTTCCCAAATCACAAGTTCTGTGCATCTTCTCTGCATCCTTTTATTTATTACATGTACTTATTTTCTCCCTGTTGGTTTTATTTTTTATTTTTTTGTTTTTTGTGTAATGTCTTCAGAATCTTCTGCATATTCTTAGCTTCTTCTGGCATCAATGTAAACAACATTTTCTCATACCTAAATTACAATGAAGTCTATTTAAATTGCAAAATTTGTTCTTCTGAAGTATCCAGTTGATCTAATCATCAGGCTGACAAGATGAGGCTATGACTTGTCCCGCATGATGTGGCGCAGTGTTGGTGATCAAAATTAAAGTCTTCTTTTTGCCCGTTCTCGTGTTAAATTCCTTTTGGTCTAGATTTCTAAATGTCTTCTGTTCAGGCTGTCATTGTCTGTTTCTTTGGTGTGAACTTTTCTTGTCCAGATTATACATTTTCCTTCCTCCCTCCCTCCCCCACTTCCTTCCTTAATTGTAATAAAAATCATAACTTAAGAATTACCATTTGGACCATTTTTAAATGTGCAGTTCAGTGACGTTAACTATATTCACATTGTTGTGTAACAAAACCTCTAGAACTTTATTCTTTAAATTTGAGCTTAAAAGTTCCTCTCCTATCTGGCTTCCTTCATTACTCATTCACTGCACCAGTTTCCCTGAATATCCATTCCACTCGGTGATTGTTACCCCAAAAGTAAGATGCGATTTTAGATTGTATAGTCTGAATGTGGTGGCATGCGTTTGTTGCTTGAGCTTTTTTTCCCTACCTGAATTATAATCTTCCAAAGAGGAAGGATTTTTTGACTCTTGTGACTTGTACAGAAGACACTCAACAGATTTTTCATTGACTAACTGAGGAGCTAGATAAATGCAAGACCTTTATCATTCATCCATTCAGAGAGAATTCATTCTGAACTATAAATTCTGATAAAGCAGGGCTTAGGATGGAATCCAAAAGCACCCCATTTGATCAGATTAGGAGCTATAATTTCCAATCACAGAAAGATTCAAAGAAAAAAAAAGACATATTTTCCATAAGCATAGGTTTTAGTTGGGAATGAAGAGCACAGCTGCATGAACTAGTTTAAAATTCAGCTTTCACAAGGAATACTTACATTCGAATACATGTTATACAACTTTCTGTTAAAGCTATTTTAAAATTTAAGGGAAGAAGACCTTCAACAAGCTTGGAAGAGATTTGATAAATATTTTAACGCTTCCTTCAAAATATAGATAGATTTTGAGAAGTCGCACTGCGTGGACGAGAACATGAGCACAGACTCGTGGTAGAGCACGCCGAGGCTTCCTGGAGCGAAGGTCGTCTGGGAAGATGAGTGCAATGCTAGTTTGAGTATATATTGTGAATCTAGGTAATGAAAAATCTTATTGGTGAATGGTAACTTCTCTTATTTCCTGTTCATATTCGGGGCTTTGGGGCATAGGATTTGATTTCTGCACACAGAACCATCAGTGTCACACTGAAAGTGGATGAGAGCACCTAACGATAGTTTAGGAGATTGAAAATTTTGTAAGATATGTAGATAAAGTTAATATCGTATAGACGGCCTTAGGAATCTGATATTTAAGGTTTTATAACAAACGAAACCCAGGAGTATGGGAACTCTTGTTTGTGTTCAGAATTAAGCTATAGTATTGTGTCAAAGACATGACTAGTTTTAGGAAATTTGGGTCAGAAAGTTAATGGCAAAACCTAATGAGGTTTTGTTTTGTGTTACAAACTCTTCTAAGCAGATTACACGTGCTAACTAAATTCTTTCCCGATCCTATGACTGAAGCACTGTTGTCCACATTTCCGATGTGTGAAACTACATCACAGTTGAATTACTCACCCAAGGTCTCCCAGCCTGTAACGTATTTGAGTTGGGCTCCCAGTGCTCTAACCATGGTGCTCTGTTGTTCAGCTGGTGTTAAATTAGACTATCAGGACACTTCAAAGAGCTGATCTTATTAGAAAGCTCTCTTGCTGTCTGGTCTGTCCTAATATCTTTCTGACATTAATGTGCCTGGGACTCTTCCAGGTGAATGCGAGTTGAGACTAAAGAGTGGGAGCCCTGGTTGTGGGATTGTCTCTAAACATAAGGGAATTGGAGCTTTTAGAATATTTATTTGGATTTATGTGCAGAACAGAAAGGCAAAGATTTTGGGTTTATGCTAGTGATGATGTTACTATGGTAATCTTGTTATGAAGTGATATCTTACAGTTTAATGTAAATTGTAACTTATCAGATAAATTGTAATCTAATAGATAAATTGTAATTTATTCTCCTAAACGTAAGCCATACTCAAAAATTTGAATATACCTCCTGTAATTGTTCTTGTTCTCTCCCTGACCCCATTAACTTTGAGTCTTCCAGTTTCTGCCTGGATCTAGCACTCTTTCAATGGCTCTGTCCTCTGCTCATCATTTTCTGTATTTGTTTTACCTTTTCTACGAAAGTTTTGAACATATTTATAAATAACAAAGTTACTTGTGTTCAATGTCAATTTATTCTCCGGATTCCCAGTAGTGCTGACTCCTGTCCCACCCTCATCTCTTCGCCATGCTTCCCTCAGCCACAACAGTGTGTGTGTGTTTCCGTTTGTCTGTTTTGTATGACAAATCAAGGGGTAAAGAGGACTATATACTTTTTTTTTAAATTTGTGGAGATTTGTGGAGAAAAGCCCACGTCAACCCCAAAATAGGGCACTCGAGTACCACGTCCATTTTATAGCTGGTGTGTTCGGATTAACAAGTTCGTTTAATTTTATTTCTTTATAGAAGAAGTCTGGCAAGTTGATGACATGATAGACAGAATCCAAGGAAATGGAGATGAATGTTCAAGGCAAGCTGTTTATCTCAACAACAAAACCCTGACTGAGGAGAGAGAGAATGCATTTGAAAAAAGTTATAATGCAGAAACAAGCCCTATTCCTTCAAGCGTATCTCATAATTGTGTCTCATGTGGAAAGCATTTAGAATCTACTTCAGAATTAATTATTAGTGATGGAAGCTATGCAAGAAAGAAGCCTGATGAGTGTACTGAATGTGGGGAAACTTATCATGGAGAGAAATCCTATGAACTTAGTCAAAATGGGGAAGGCTATTCTCAAAGCGAAGAAGGTATTCTTCAGAAAATTAATATTTTGGAGAAACCATTTGAATATAATGAATGCATGGAGGCCTTAGACAATGAAGCTGTTTTCATTACCCCTAAGAGGGATTATACGGGGGAGAAGCCCTATGAGTGGAATGATTCTGGATCAGAGTTCCTCCAGATGTCAAACTTTAATGTGTACCAGAGATCACAAATGGAATTAAAGCCCTTTGAATGCAGGGAATGTGGAAAATCCTTCTGTAAAAAGTCAAAATTTATTATACATCAGAGGGCTCATACAGGAGAGAAACCTTATGAATGTAATGTGTGTGGGAAATCCTTCAGCCAAAAGGGAACCCTCACAGTACATCGGAGATCACACTTAGAGGAGAAGCCCTATAAATGTAATGAGTGTGGGAAAACCTTCTGTCAGAAGTTACATCTCACGCAGCATCTGAGAACTCACTCAGGAGAGAAGCCCTATGAATGTAATGAATGTGGGAAGACCTTCTGCCAGAAGACACACCTCACTCTACACCAGAGGAATCATTCAGGAGAGAGGCCATATCCATGTAATGAATGTGGGAAGTCATTCTCCCGCAAGTCAGCCCTCAGTGACCATCAGAGAACGCATACAGGAGAGAAACTTTATAAATGTAATGAATGTGGGAAATCCTACTACCGAAAATCTACCCTTATTACACATCAGAGAACACACACAGGAGAGAAACCCTATCAGTGCAGTGAGTGTGGAAAATTCTTTTCTCGGGTATCGTACCTTACTATCCATTATAGAAGTCATTTAGAAGAGAAGCCCTATGAATGTAATGAATGTGGCAAAACCTTCAATTTAAATTCAGCCTTTATTAGACATCGGAAAGTACACACAGATGAGAAACCCCATGAATGTAGTGAATGTGGAAAGTTCTCTCAGTTCTCATATCTCACTGACCATCGTACAACTCCTTTAGGAGAAAAACCCTATGAATGTAGTGAATGTGGGAAACCCTTTCTTGAAAATTCAGCATTTGATGGGCACCAGTCACTTCCAAAAGGGGAAAAATCCTATGAATGTAATATATGTGGAAAATTGTTCTCTGAGTTGTCATACTACACGGTACATTATAGAAGTCATTCAGAAGAGAAGCCCTACGGATGTAACGAATGTGGAAAAACCTTCTCCCATAATTCATCCCTCTTCAGACATCAGAGGGTACATACAGGAGAGAAACCTTATGAGTGTTATGAATGTGGGAAGTTCTTCTCTCAGAAGTCATATCTCACTATACATCATAGAATTCATTCTGGAGAGAAACCCTATGAATGTAGTAAATGTGGAAAAGTCTTCTCTCGGATGTCAAACCTGACCGTACACTACCGAAGCCATTCAGGAGAGAAACCTTATGAATGTAATGAATGTGGGAAAGTCTTTTCTCAGAAGTCGTACCTCACTGTACATTACAGAACTCATTCAGGAGAGAAGCCCTATGAATGTAATGAATGTGGGAAAAAATTCCACCACAGATCAGCCTTCAATAGCCATCAGAGAATTCATAGGAGAGGCAATATAAATGTACTTGATGTGGGAAGTCTCCTGTGAAGTGAAATCTCATTTTAGAAAACCCTCTGAATACAATGATTTGAAGTCATATGTCATGGGATGAGAGTTCATGTTTCTGAATGGGGAGAGAGGCATTTAGGCATTAGATTCATTTTAACCTGAATTTTCACAGAGAGGAGTCCCTCAGCAACAAGAAGCAAAACCTTCAACAAGACCCTACAACTCGTTGGACACTAGATAATTTTTACAAGAGAAACTTTATAAATATTTAATATTTATTTTGGATTCAAGTCGTATTTACATATCAGGGAATCATACCAAGGCAAAATCTGTTAAAGTGATAAATGTGGAAAAATGTATTGCCTTGGAAATTGTTATACTAAAAGCCATATTTCTGATGTAAAGTCACATGTTTATAAGAAAGATTTCAGAAGTTATCAGCTCTGAATAAACCTTCATTGTATAAAATGAAGTTTCAAATCATCAGGAGTTGATGAGGTCAGTAGCATTAAAAACCTATATGGAAGTTTCTATTGTTTTTAAAATGCAATCTAACAATTCTATGCAAGTTTGGATTTGAATAATTCGTGAAAAGACAGTATTCTTATTTGAATATTAAGATGGCAAAACATACCAACCCAAGATATATTGTTGGTGAGCTGTTTGACAGGTACAAAATAGTTAAATACATAATTTCCTATTCTTTAGAGACATTTACAAACGGATTTCTAATAAATGCCTCATCAATAGGGGAGACTGATTTTTGTATTTTCAACTTCATTTGAGCAAAAAAAGATTTTAAAACATGCTATTTTCATAAACTATGCATAGGTAATTTGGAACTAAATCTTTTTCAGTGACAAAGGACAATTGTATTAATTTTCTATCAAATATGCTCAGCTCCCTTACCACTCTTGTTTTTTAACCCATAAGTTTGTGCAGTGCGCCAATATTATGTAATTCAGAACTTTTATCTGTATTTTAATATGAACAGTGTCATTATTTTGTGCACTGCCCTTTATTCCCAGTATTTTGGAACAAATTAATACAAGTTCCCAGCAGACATTTTTGAGTGATTAACTCGATGTCATTTCACCCCTCTTTTTTTGCTGGAAGAATTTGAGTATCTGTCATTTCTTTACATGATTCAGAGGGTAAATCCTGATTAATCTAAACCAATCATGATAATTTCATTCTGATTGTTGGCAATTTTTATATACGTCACGTGACCCAGTCCTGGGCAAACAAAAATGATCAAATGTGTCTTACTCCAGGAATATGAGTGTTTGTTTTAGTTATTGTTTAAAAAAATCACTGTAATACCTCACTTGAAGAAAAGTAATCTAAGGGGCAGGAAACTAATATAGTAAAATCACCATCCATTTATATTCTTAATAAACTATAGATAGGAACTTTCTTAATTGGATAAAGAGTATTTTAAACTATAATCAACAGCATACCTAATGGCGAAGTATTGAAAATTTCTCCCAAGATCAAAAAAATAGACAATGATACCTGCTATTACTAATTTTATTCAGTACTGTGCAGAAGGATCTAACCAGGAAAGTAGGGGGAGAAAAACAATCAAAAGACATAAAGGATCAGAAAGAATTAAAACTCTTATTTGCAGATGACATGACTTTGTACATAGAAAATTCTGAGGAATATACAGGTAATTCAATTTAATGAATAAATTTAACAAGGTCACCACATAGGAGTTCATTACGAAAAAATTGGTTTTTTAAAATATACCAGCAATGAACAGAGAAAATGAAAAATTTAAAAGCAATACCACTTGAATAACATAAAAAATCCTTAAGTGCCTAGGGAAAAAAATTAACCATGTTTTCAAGAAATTTATCCAGGAAAAAAAAAAAAATTACAAAACCGAGAGGGACATATTTTGTTCATGGATTCCAGGACAATCTTTAAAGATACCAATTCATATATTAAGTGCAATGTTAAAGTCCTAGTACTTTAAATGAAATTTAGCTAATTCTAAAATTCATGTGAAAATTCAAAAGACCAGTAATAGTCAAGGCCATACGCTAGAATAGACAGAGCAAGAGGTCTTATATTGCCAGATACCAAGACCTGCAGTAAAGCCATAGTAGTTATGATGGTGCGATAATGGCACAGAGATAAATTGATCAGAGGACAGAACAGATTCCAGAAACACCCATGTATAATACTGTCAGTTGATTTCCAATGAAAGTGAAAGTGCAGTGTCATTCAGGAAAAGATGTTCTTTCCAATAAATGCTCTTTTATGTTTCATAATTTGATAGAAAATAGAAAAATCAATTGAGATGAATTGCAGATCTAAATACAAACTACAAAACAAAGCTATACGAAGGAAACTTAGGAAACTGTAAGCTTATAGACAAAATTTTCTTAAGACTCAAAAAGTACTAAACCATAAAATAGAATATGTTCATTTGGATTTATTAGGTTTTAAAATTTATCTAAAAGACACCATTAAGAAATCAAGCAAACCGCAGAGAGGGCAGATATTCACAGTACGTACATGTGACCACAAGCCTGAGTGTGCAAGGGCCAGTGCATGTTTCTGGTAAGGGGCCAGGCAGTATTTGAGGCTTTGCAGGCTACACAGCCTCTGTCGCAGCTACTCAGCTTTGCCATTGTTTGGTGAAAACCATATACCACGACAGATGAACGTGGCTATGTCCCAATAAAAATTTATTCACAAACACTGGTGGCAGTCTGGATTTGGCCTGCAGGCCATAGTTGCTGACCCCTGATCTAAACTATAAAAAGAACACCTACAAATCAAGAAAGTAGGAAGTGAGTTAAAGTCTTGGCCATCCACTTCACAAAAGAGGATATCCAGATGGCCAAGAAACATGAAAAGGTATGTTAATTTTTATTGGCAATCTGGGAAATGGAAATTCTTAGGATACCATGTGGTTCTACTACACTCACTGAAATGGTTAGAATGAAAAGCACGAAAAATCAAGTTTTGGCAAGAAAGTAAGCAACAGGAAGTCTACATTGCTGATGATGTTGCCAGTTGATAATCATTTTGGAAAGCTGGCACTTAAAGTTTAACGTGTATACCTTTGGACCCAAAGCTAGCAGAAACGCTTGTATGTATCCATCATACACGCATACGGCCACCAAAGGACATGTGCCAGAACATTCGTAATGTAAAATGGCAAAACAAATATCTGAAGGCACGTGCGCAGTAAATGAACGTAAGTGATATGTTTCCACTACAGAATACTGGAAAGCAAAGAGAATGAATGAATAATAACACAGCTCAATTTCACAGACAGTGCTGAATGAAGGAATCCAGACACACAAGCCAACCGTACATGATCCCATCTATGTGCAGTGTAAGAAAAGGCAAAACTTGTCTATGCAGTGAGAAATCAGGATGGTGATCAACCTTGGCAAAGGCTGAACAGGGGTATTTAACTGGTGCTGGTAATATTTCTGAATCTGGGTGCTGAATATCTGAGTGTTCTGTGCACTTAAGGTGTTTTTCTGCATGTATATTATACTTTCATAAAGTTTCTTTTTAAATCGCAAATGTCTACCATTTTTGTTGCTCCACACTCTTTTGCCATATTTTTCTAGGTGTGTATAAATATGCTACCTACCTAACAGGAATTAAGTGGTAGATTTTGCATAATTCTGTGCAGGAAATACTCTTTATAGTAGTTTTAATGGTAACTGCTAACATTTCCTACACTGTGACCTTAAAGCTTAATATAATGTATATTTTAAGTAAAATATTTGAAAGGTGATGGGGCCATTGCATATTTTGTCATCCTACCCTTTTGCATATATAAACTGGTCTGCACTGCCTCTTCAATAAAGAACTAATGTGTATAAACATTTCATATTTTCTCAGACAAATTGTTTTTCAAATTTCCGAATTCGGGGTGCATCTTAACCATTATCCTATCACAGAGGTGACCTTTCTTCAAGGTAAGTAAATATAATGGTGAGTTTGATTTGATGAAAAATTATATTGAAAAGTTTTCAGGTAATCCTCTCAGCAGATGTAATCTACACAGTTAACAGCAGCAATATGAGAAAGGAAACAGTTAAGTACGACTTTGCACCGTAAAAAATAAAGCACTTGGCAAAAAATAAAGCGCTTGGCGTTGGGAGGGGGTGGGAACTGGCCATGCTTATGGCACAGCAGGGGCGAATCATGACATGTGATGGAGCAGACTGTGTGTGCTTGATTTTATTTCACCTTTCTACTCCACTGAAGGGTGAACAGATTTACAATGCCCTGCTGGCTAGGGCGGGGTAATCGGAATTGGATGGGACTTGGAGGCGCAGTCCCCCGCATTGGCGGCCTGTTCTCTCCACTGGGCCTAACGACCATGCAGGTGGTCAGGCAGGGCTGCGACTCCCTGGCACACAGCCCATTCCTCATCTTATATCTACTACTGCTCAACTTGGGGTTAGTTAACTTTCCAATTTTTCTCTAAAATCTCCTAAATAGGTAAAGACATTAATGCAATCCACTTATACCTGAGGGCAAAAATTCACCCAGTGTTCCTTATTCCATCCCAGATTATACCCAGATGTGTTGTTCAAGCAACTAAGCCCTTGAAAGGGGGAAAATGTAGGACATGTAGCGCCACAGTGCTACAGGACTCCCCAAACAAAGTTATGTGATGGCCACAAAGAAATGCAACAAAACACATAATCCTCTCCACAGTGATAATCACGACCAAAAAATGCGACCTCACATTAAAGAAATCAAACTCCTGTAGTTCTATCAAATTGGTGAACTGCCATTGAATTGCTGTCTTGTGAGCAAAGGGTATGGAGTGCAAGTCATGTCAGAAATCCTGAGGAAAGAGAGGACAGCTGTCTCGGTGGCATCTGGGAGTGTGGAAACTGGCGCAAAGAGAGTGGCATCTGCTGAGCCAAACTTCGAAATGTGTTCTTTCCTCCACACGTCAGCCAAGTCCGACCATCGCCAGCCCTGCTCAGTCGGTGGGACAGGCAGGCAAGCGCTCAGCTCAGTGCTGCCAGGACACCCGGGCCTGGCGGGCGTGAGAACGAGAGCACACAGCTGGCGTTCCACCATGCCCCCGAAGCTAAGCTTTCGCACCAACAGAAGAAATTTGATATGTTTTAGTGACAACTTGAAAAAAGAGAAATTTTTTGGAGCATGATTATCCGGGAGAGGTGGACAAAAGTATGTCATCAGTCCCGGCTTCACTGCGTTTTTGTCCTGGGATACATGTGTCCTCCGTAAACCCACACTGAAAGGCGTGATGGGCCTTTTCTCCAGCCAAGATTGCAGGAAGTCCCAGGACAAACCAAGTTATGGCAGAAAGACATCAGGGATTCAGCACTGAAAACACCCTCGAATGTATTGGTAACGTGAAGTAGAAATAAACAGCTAAAAAGGGAAATATGTAGTAGAAACAAAGATTCATGTGATTTGTCACTCGGTTCCCAAGGTAACATTTTTTTCTGCCTAATATTGTGATGTGGCATCAGATGAGAAAAAAATTCAGGTTAGGTGAGCCCACAATCAGTGAGCCGGGAGATGCTGTGTAGAAAAGACCTTTTGCAGGAGGCTTCAGAAAGAATAAAATGTGGCATGAAAAAGGGTAGAAGTAGACATTTCCTCGAGATACCAGGAATCTCCAAGTGGGGAGAACTCCATAAATGAACGGAAGAAGCTGAGCGAGGGAGAAAGTGACTTAATTTCATATGAAAAAAATCAAAGTGACTGATAAAGAACAGTTGGTCCTCCAAAAAGGAAAGATATGGAAACAACCATCTTTTCAAAATAAAATTTAATAATATTAAAGATAAAATTTTGTAAGTTCCAATAAAGAGGCAATCACTCAAAAGCTAATTTCTCAACTTCTACTTTTAGCTATTTTGGAGTAACAGCAACCAGGTTTACCTGTACAACTAACTGGACAAAATGATTGAATTGACGGACATTGGACATCAGCTGCGGGACTGTGACCCCTGAGAGAAGAGGAACAAAGTGATCCCTGTGATTGCCTCAGCGTTACTTCCTGGAGGGACTTTCCAGGCCACAGTGCAGGGACAGGCACCCCAAACGGCGGGATGGTCGTCTGAGTTGAGAATTCAGGAGGCCAAGGAGCTAGAGAGCACAGGACGGAGTGCCCAACAGGAGAGAGTTACGTGGAGCTTCATGATCATGACACATGAGAAGCCCCAAACTCAGGGGTTCTGGGACCACTTCCGGGGCCTCAATTCAGGATCTGGAAAGAGGGACAAGGCAGGTAAGTCTCCAGGGGACTTGCTCAACAAACAGAGGCTTGGCTCTGCCTTACGGGCGTGGCAAGTCCCTGGAGACTTGCTCCGACTAGAGGTGTTGTCAAAGTGGGCGTGGCCGTCGTGGAGGGTCTGTGAGGTGTAACGGGGCGGGGCTCGGGGCGGGGCGTGGCCAGCATTGGGGGCGGGGCTTGGGCTCGAGTAGGTCTCTAGAGCTCCAGGGGCCCATCGGGCAACGGTCTGCATCTAACAGTCTTTGGGGAGCCGGAGTCTGGTGACCGGGCTGTGGGCAGGTGAAAACAGGCTGAGGCCTGGGAGTAAGTGGCCGGCCTCTGGGGCGGTGGGCCTGGCACACGGAAGGGGGAGAAGGGGCCGGAAGAGGAGAGTAGAGGGTTGGGCGGTGTGGGAAGAGGTGCCCTGACCAAGGGCGGGGCCTCTGACGGTGCACCTGTCCACCCCTGGCCCCCTCCCAGCAGCCCTGCCTGCCGAGCCATGTGGCGCCCGCTGGTCCTGCTGCTGCTGCTGCTGCTTCCTGTCAACCCCGTCCCCACCGCTGCTGCTGCCCCCATCCTCGATGCCAAAGTCCAGGACAGCCTGCAGAGCCTAGGTTGCAACCGCCTATTGTTGGAGGTCGGGGTGGGGGAGGGAGGAGGAGGACAGACAGGAGGGCTGGGGGCAGACAGCGAGAGAGGAAGTCAGAGGGACCCAGAGGAAGGGAAAGACGAGACAGATGCAGGGAGGGGGCTGGCGGGACCGAGAGAGAAATACAGCATGACAGGTGAGGGGGTAGAATAGAGAAGGCAGGAACCCAGAAAAGAACTGGGGGCAGGTGGGAGAGATGGACTCGTTCGGCCCTGAAAGTCAGAGGCTGGACAGGGAAGGGTGTGAGAGGGACAGCCAACGCCCGGACCACCTCCTGCGAGCCTCCATCTCCCTCGGACCTGCTGTGGGGCAGGGACGGCTGCCTCGTGAACTTCAGCACCTCCCCAGAACTGCCACGCCCCAGAGGACCAGGGGTGCTGGCTGGGGAGCAGCGCGCCTTCCAGCTCGCACCAGGAAGCCCCTCCTGTAGCCCTACTTGTTCTTCACCAGGTGCCCAAAGTGGAGGAGACAAGACGGTGTGGACGGCTGCAGATCCAGTCCCCAATTCTGGCTGTCCTCCTGGGTCATGAGGGGGCTGCCGTGGCAGTGCAGCCCGGAAGCCTGGGAGTCAGGCCTGTGGCTCCGTGAGAAGCATCCGTGGCTACAGGCCATCTGCGACAGGCTCCTCAAGGGGACCCGGAGGCAGGGGGACCTGGAGCCTCCCCTGCCCCAAACGCCCCATCCCTAAAACCCACTTCTTGTCCCTCCCCAGGCTCAGCATCAACCACAATGGCTGGGGGTGGGCATTAGAGCACTGGCAGGGGACAGACATGTACCCTCACCAGACCCCTGCCCCAGCTCCATTTAGAAATAAAGTTCTTTCTTAAGGCCAGCTGTGCTGTTTCCTCTCACCACCGGCCCCCATCTCCTGGCCAAATAAATACGGTTTCTTTACTTTGACCTAATTCTTTTCACGAGCTCCTGAGGCAGGGGAGGATGGCTTAGGAATTAGACACATGGTGAGACGCCCCCACCAACCATGCACGTGATGAGACGCCCCCCACCAACCATGCTCCAGCTGCTTAAAATACCTTAGAGAGGTCACGATGAAGGTCATCTTGAGTCAAAGCTTCCCGTCCAGGAGAAGCTGGCACAGTGGGTCTGGTCTCCTGAATCTTGTCATAAAGACTTCAGAAAATGGTCCCCTGAAGTTCTGGCCGTCGCCTTGAGAGAGTCCCTTGGAATGGGGCGGACTCATCCCTCTTGAGACCCACGGAGTGGTGGGGTTTCCCTCTCTCCACTGATTTTCCTATGGAGATGGATGCCCCCTCTGTGGGCTAAGGTCACCGTAAGGGAATGGAGGCTTCAGATCACTTCCGCTTCCCTGTCCCCTGAACTCGCTGGTACCCACGGCCACTGACTTCTAGGTCATTGGCAAGCAGCTCTTCAGTGCAGTTGTGGCATCAGCTGCATCTCTATGCCATTTCCACTAACGCATTCCTATTTGCTCTACATCCACTCCCATCGACTATCCTTGGGATGCGTGCTGCCCACTTAACTGAGAACGAGGTGACAAAGATTCGATTATTTTATTTCTCAAAGTGGTTTTCAACACTGATGGATAAACTGGGATCTGGAAAAATCTTATGCCATGGGCAGCACTTGTCTCCCACGCCTCATGTTTCCAGAAGAGGGTGGTCACACCAGACACAAAAGAATATGTACTCTGGAGTTCAAAAACAAACCAAACTGATGCATGGTGCTAACACACAGAATACTAGTTTCCTTTAGGGAAGAAAAAAGGCAATGATGGCGGGGTGGGGGAGAATGAAGAGGGTTTCTGGGGTTCCGGTAATAATCTATTTTTTCACTTTGTGAAATTTCATCCAACTGCACCATTATTTTGTGCATTTCTGTAAGTCTATTATATGTAAATTATGTTTATTTTTTAAATGATGACATGGTAAAAATAAAATTAGATTCCTACCCCACATCTTACAGGATAAATTGCATATGGATTAAACATTTAATT